CCATTATGTTGTTTCGTGCCAGCACACCTGGGGACTTGTGGATAAACACCGGTGTATAGTATCAACACTGATCACTGTATTAGTGTCACTATTGATGTCAGTGTCAGTCAGTGTACCCCCCAGCTAGCATCACCTAGTGTCAGATTGCCTGCCGCACTATCACAGCCCCACTAAAAGTCGCTGATCACCATTATTAGTATTTAAAAAAATTGGTTTGTAGATTCTATAACTTTCACACAAACCAAATACTATGCTCTTATTGGGATTTTTTTTTACCACAGACATGTAGCAGAATACATTTTGGCCTAAATGTATGAAGAAATTTGATATTTTGAATTTTTTATTGGACATGTTTTATAGCTGAAAGTAAAAAAATGTATTTATTTATTCAAAATTCTTGGGTTTTTTTTTCGTGTATATAATAAAAACTAAAAATCACAGTGGTGATCAAATACCACCAAAAGAAAGTATTTACGTAAAAAAATAATTATACATTATTCATTTGGGTGCAGCGTTGCATGCAATTGTCAGCTTAAGTAGAGCATTGCTGATAGCAAAAAAAATGGCATGAAAGGGGTAAAATCTCCCAGAGGGCAAGTAGTTAAATATGTTTTTTTTTTCTTTTTTTGCTGACAAACACTATAAGCAAACCTTGGCACAGATTATTGTTTCTCATACAGCAGTTATTAGGAGCAGAGTGACAGCACCCATTATTACCTAAACTTATGCTGGTAACTATTTGCATAATTGCACTACTACAAGGAAACGCTTGCATCTAATCTCTCTAAAGAAGCTTTGCATCTAATTGGGGAATTCAGAAGTAGGGCTGACCAGGCCATTTTTGCGATACGGTGCTGCATTACTTTATCTGACAATTGCGCGGTCACGCATTGCTGCACCCAAATTAAATTTGTGTCCTTTTTTTTCACAAATAGAGCTTTCTTTCGGTGGTATTTGATCGCCTCTGCAATTTTTTTTTTTTGCGCTATAAACAAAAAAAGACAGACAATTTTTTGAAAAAAACAATATTTTTTACTTTTTGTAATTAAAAGATTGTATTCAAAGAGTACAATGAGTGGTTAATGATTCATACTCTGAATGGTCTAGGAGTGTCAGTGGGGTACCCGAAACTTCAGTGTTGGGACCCTTACTTACTTAATATATTTATAAACGATATAGGGTCTGATATTAACAATCCCATTTCAGTCTTTGCAGATGACACCAAGCTATGCAGTGGAATAACGTCTTTATAGGATGTCTACAACTTACAAGCCGACCTCAGTGCTCTGTGTAATTGGGCAACTATGTGGCAAATGAGGTTTAATGTTGATAAATGTAAGGTTCTGCACTTGGGGACTAAGAATATGCATGCATCATACATATTAGGGGGAGTACAACTGGGGGAATCAATGGTGGAGAAGGATCTGGGGGTTCTGGTAGATCACAAGCTTAATAATGGCATGCAATGCCAAGCTGCGGTTTCTAAAGCGAGCAAAATCCTCTCTTGTATTAAAAGATGTATAGACTCCAGAGAGAGAGATATCATTTCCCCCGGTACAAATCATTAGTGATAACTCGTCTGGAATATGCAGTTCAGTTTTGGGCACCAATTCACAAAAAGAACATTGAGGAACTGGAGAAAGTACAGAGAAGGGCAACCAAACTGATACGAGGCATGGAGGAGCTCAGCTACGAGGAAAGATTAGAGGGACTGAATTTATTCTCTCTTGAGAAGAGGAGATTAAGGGGGGAAATGATCTCCATGTATAATACATAAGGGGGGATATGATCTCCATGTATAATACATAAGGGGGGATATGATCTCCATGTATAATACATAAGGGGGGATATATGTATAATACATAAGGGGGGGATATGATCTCCATGTATAATACATAAGGGGGTGATATGATCTCCATGTATAATACATAGGGGGGGATATGATCTCCATGTATAATACATAAGGGGGGGATATGATCTCCATGTATAATACATAAGGGGGGGATATGATCTCCATGTATAATACATAAGGGGGGGATATGATCTCCATGTATAATACATAAGGGGGATATGATCTCCATGTATAATACATAAGGGGGGATATGATCACCATGTATAATACATAAGAGGGGATATGATCTCCATGTATAATACATAAGGGGGGGATATGATCTCCATGTATAATACATAAGGGGGATATGATCACCATGTATAATACATAAGGGGGGATATGATCTCCATGTATAATACATAAGGGGGGATATGATCTCCATGTATAATACATAAGGGGGGATATGATCTCCATGTATAATACATAAGGGGGGATATGATCTCCATGTATAATACATAAGGGGGGATATGATCACCATGTATAATACATAAGGGGGGATATGATCTCCATGTATAATACATAGGGGGGATATGATCTCCATGTATAATACATAAGGGGGGATATGATCTCCATGTATAATGCATCAGTGGTTCATATAGTGAACTCGGTGTAGAGTTATTCACCCTGAGGTCATCACAGAGGACAAGGGGGCACTCTTTACGTCTGGAGGAAAAGAAGTTTAATCTCCAAATACAGAAAGGTTTCTTCACAGTGAGAGCTGTGAAAATGTGAAATAGACTCCGTCAAGAGTTGGTTCTGGAAAGCTCAGTAAATTGCTTCAAAAAAGTCCTGGATTGTTTCTTGCATACACAGAATATAACTGGATACTAACATTTATAGGTAAAGTTGATCCAGGGAATATCCGATTGCCTCTCGGGGGATCAGGAAGGAAATTTTTTTCCCAGCAGGAGCAAATTGGATCATGCTTTTCTGCTTTTCTGGATTTTTTTTGCCTTCCTCTGGATCAACTGTGGGTGTAGGATTATAACTTTTTTTTTTCTTTTCTATGGTTGAACTGGATGGACTTTTGTCTTTTTTCAGCCAGACTAACTATGTAACTATGTAACATGTCCTGTAAAATAAAAATTTGAAAAATCAAATTTCGTCATAAATTTAGGCCAAATGTCTTTCCTAAAAAAAAATCCCAATATGTGCAAATTAATTGGTTTACGTGAAAGTTATGGCATCTACAAATGGCAGTATAGATACTGGATTTTTAAAAAAAATATATACTAGTAATGGCGGCGATCATCAACTTACTGCGGGACTGTGGCGGGCATTCTGACACTGGGGGGGAACTGACTAACTGTCACTGACATCCCCAGTAACACTAATACAGTGATCAGTGCTAATAAACAGCACTGACACTGTACTAATGACACTGGGCAGGAAGGGGTTAACATCTGGGGCGATCAAAGAGTTAACTGTGTGCTGGGAGTGTTTTACTGAGTCAGCACACTGCTTTGAATGGCGATCGCCGGGTGCCGACGGGGGATCACCAGCTGGGACCCGGTGATCGACAGCTGAGGCCGCAAATGGCATCGCGGGTATGCAAAATCACATATATATATTTATATATATATGCGTGTGATTTTGCACAGCCCTACCGTCCTGTAGCAGTATTTCTGCTATAGAGCGGCGGGAAAGCGGTTAAAGTTGGAAATGTTTTTGTTTATTGACACATCCCTCTGTAGTGTGATCTGGGTAATCTATTCCCTGTATATTCTATGACACTTTCTCATTGGGCACTTTGCATATTTTGATATTTGGTATATCATATTTTGATATTTATGGTAAATTTCATTTATTAAAATGTCCAGATATGAGACACTACTAGATGCTGGTTATTATAGTCTGATAATATCTATTAACTGCATCTGGTTTTTGGAACCAATGACTTTCGTTAGGCAGCTCACATATACCAGGATAGCCTACAAAGGGTATAATAATGAAGAAAGTAATAAAGTGCCAAAATGACGAAATTTTAATGCATACACAAGATAATGAAATCAATCTTCTCATTTTGGTGAGCTACACCAAAAGGAGCCTCATGGGGGCCACAAGGAGCCAAAAGCCCCTCATTATAATGATAGACTAATGTAAAAAAAATAAAGAAATAAAACATAAAAATTAAGACTTGAAAAATACCCTCCTGCTTTCTATTCCTTGTTAGGTGTACCCCCCCCCCCCCCCCCGTTCATGACCCAGTAATAATACATGTTTGACTAGTTTTAATACCTATGAAAGTGCCCTTTTGGAGCTTTTAAATGCTGGGAGGCAGAGGCGGGCATTTGGGTTATGTGACCGCTGTGGTTGGCTGTCACAGCAGCCACAATGATTGGAAAGCTCCCGATCACAAGTATGGAAGCTTTCTGGTCTCCACTAATGTGTGTTCTGGGGGTGCTCAGGGCACACGCTCCCATCACAAAGAGTTGTTTATTGTGAGCCGCATTTATGCTGCCCCTCGATGGTAATGCCCATCCACCAAAAGGCTGCATATATGCACTACATCGACAAGAAGAGATTAATATCTGTATTGCAGTAACACAAATAGTTAATAAAAACAAAATAGGAGCCCTGATGGGGTAACACGTGTTACATTCATTACACCTGTTGTAAATACCAGAACGCTGTGCGGGAAAGCCCTACTCCATGCATATTTCTGCACCGCATTCAAAACACACTGCAGTTGTGATCTGCAGCAGGTGTCAATTTTTAGTGACGCCCCAAACAAAGCTTTCAAAGGCAATATGATTGCCAACACCGGATGGCAAGGAACAGAAGTAACATGCGATCAGATTGCAGTAGTGCATGCACTACTGTTGGTGCAATGCAGTGGAATTTCAGCTCAACCAAAATAAATGGGATGAAATTGTACCACACAGAACTTCATGTGAGTCGCACAGAAATGAAAATCAGTGTGAACCCCCCCCCCCCAGAAGGAATTACAACACTATTAGGGCTCATGTACACTGCAGCTGATAAACTCACTTTTAGGAACTGTTCAGTATTTTTTTCAGCAGCCCCTGAACTCTCCCTAATGTTTTCCTATGTGTCCATGTACACATCTTCGTTTACAGTCAGTTGAGTTTACAGTCTTTTTTTGAACGCAACAAACTTGTGTTACGACGTCGATTTTATCAGTGTTTCAAATGCAAAACCTTGTAAATGCGTCTAAAAGTGTCTTAAAGCAGCAAATCGTGTTTATAAGCGTTTGAATTTTTTTTTAACTCTTCCAGTTCCCAATGCTGCCCAGAGCCTTTTTTCATCATTAAAAATGCATGCAAAGAGTTTTCAAGGTGCTCAGATGGACAAACACTGAACACAGGATGTTCCTACCAAGCTTGTCACACATTGTAATGACCAATTCACACCTCAGACCTCTCCCACCCTTGGAAACAAAAGATATGTTAATGCACATTCACACCTCAACTTCCTCATGAAGACCCCCTGCCAGGTGGCCTTAATGTCTCACTCCAGCAGACACCTTCCCACCCTTGGAAACAATAGAAATGTTAATGAGCAACTCACACCTAATTATCTCAACACTTACTGCTGTCTCTGCTTCTACTCTTTGTATTTCTCTGAAACAGTCTGAAATAGTTAATAATTTACCACACAGTGCATTCTGGGCATATGGGAGGTCCTCCTGTGTTTATCTTTAATAAACGCTTCTAAACACAAACGCACATAAACGCGCTATGCAAACGCGGCTAAACAGATGTTTTTTAACCTACATTTTCCAGCAGTCAGTTTCCATTGTTCAGAAACGTCCCGTGTACATGGGGCCTTAGACAAAACTCATTGCTCATTATTTTACAGAATCATACAGGAGATCGGATTTAAAAGTGAAACATAACATAACACAATACCTGCCAAACCAGAAACTGTCCGTATTCTATGAAGCTAATCCCTGGCACTTACATAACGTCTCATGTCTGTTGATAAGTAAGTAGTAAAATACAAACTGGAAACTACTTCTCTGGAAAAAAAACAGAGACACCGGTAACACTTTTGTAATAGAGAATATTGTTCTTGTATCAGAAAGCAAACAAATGAGAACTTAGAATTTTGTAATATACAGTGCAATGAGCAAAGTGCTAAATGCACCCTAACAGAACATTGTTAATAATAATAACAACTAGTTCAACCCAAAATTTTCAAATGCAAAAACATTTTCACAAATTAATAGTAAATGAAGATAATTTTTGAAGATTATTGTTGGCCTGTGGAGTATGGCATAGCAAGCTACCATCACCAAATCATATGGGAAGAACTTTGCTAATTAAATAAAATGACATTCATTTGGAGGCTGGTTATGGGATTCTTTTCATACAGCAACATGTAAAATATAAAAATATTTTGAATTACAGATTTGTGGGAAGTCTCACAGTGATTCTAAAGGTATTCTCTGCATTAGGGTAAAAAAACCATCTGTATACAGCTCGGCTCCCCCTGCCCCCCCAAACCCCCCAACAGCCTCCCCTTATACCTACCTGGCCTTGATCTCGATTCAAGCACTGTGCCTGAGAGCAGCGTGTAGGCAGGTTGCCTATGATAGTCAATAAGTATGACTGCTCTAGCAGAAGGGAAGGGGTTAATTTTATTTGCCTCTGCTCTCAAGATTTCTTGGCTGGCTGTTTTGGGTCCGACCCACTGATCCTGTGGCATTATAAAAAGGACAGGGGTCCGCATCCCGGGGTCGCCGTGTACATGGGGCTTGCCTGTTTTCTGCCTTGCCCAAGTCAGCCACTGAAGACACCATTAATTGGATTCTCTGCAAACAGGAAATAAGAACTCTAATATAGAGAAAAGACATAGACTTTTATTATAGAAATGTTTAATGTCTGGTCTGAAGTTATTAAAAGGGGTGTATGAAAACAACACTTGTCCAGCTCTCCTAGAGTAACTGCCTGTCTCCTGGAATCTCCTTCATGATCTTGAGACTGTATTGGGAAACACAGCAAACCTTCTGGCAATGGAACGTATTGATGTGCCATCCTGTAGGAGTTGGACTGCCTGTGCAACCTCTGTAGGGTCCAGGTATGGCCTCATGCTACCAGTAGTGACACTGACCCTAGCCAAATGCAAAACTAGTGAAAAACAGTCAGAAAAGATGAGTAAGAAAAAAAATGTCAGTGGCCTCCACCTGTAAAACCATTCCTATTTTGGGGGTCGTCTCTTGTTGCCCATCTAGTGCACCTGTTGTTAATTTAATTAACACCAAAGCAGCTGAAACTGATTAACAACCCCCTCTGCTACTTCACTGACCAGATCAATATCCCAGGAGTTTCACTGACTTGATGCTATACTCTGATTAAAAAGTGTTCCTTTCATTTTTTGAGGTTTGTGTATATATATATATATATATATATATATATATATATATATATATATATATATATATATATATATATATATATATATATATATATATATATATATATACTGGGCAGCACAGTGGCTAGGTGGTTAGCACTTCCGCCTGCCAGTACTAGGGTCAATGGTTTGAATCCCAGCCTCAGCACTACCTGCATGGAGTCTGCATGTTCTCCCTGTGCCTGTGTGGGTTTCCTCCAGGTATTCTGGTTTTCTCCCACACTCCGGAGACATACTGGTAGGTAAATTAGCCATAGTATGTGTATATATGAATGTTAGTTAGGGACCTTAGATTGTGAGCTCCTTGAGGGTTGGGGACTGATGTGAATGTACAATATATATGTAAAGCGCTACGTAACGTAACAGGGCTATATAAGTACTGGTTATAAATTAAAAAATGATAAAATATACTGTGTTAGAAGAGGTAAATTGCACACAGGGTTCTGATTGAGGGGCTCTTGAGTGTCTGTTTTGAAAAATTGCCTTTTTAGTTTTCTCTAGATTTGTAACACCAAGCTTGGGGTCTTGAGTCCAGAGACTTCCAAGAGTTTTAGAATGGGAGAAGCCTCTACCCATGTCTCTAAGTTTTACCAAAGACCAGGAGGCTGTATGTGTACAGGTGGTCACATCCTTTATAGTCCTGGGGATGGTTAAAATTCAGGGCTCCACCTAGGTGACAGGAGGCTTCCTACCCAGGTCAGGGATTGGGTCAGGCAGCAGGGAGATCTGAGAGCTGAGATAGCTGCAAGAAAGGTGCAGAGGTCACCTGTAAGTTCAGTGGTGCTGTAAATCGGTCTGAGGGACCATACCAAAAGCCTAAGCTTAAGACCAGAAGATTAAGAACATTGCAATTTTGTGTTCTGAAGTGGTATTGGAAACCCCTGCAAGGGCAACCGTTGGTTGTGTGAAACGTTTACTTTCTTTTTAAACAAAAGTGAGCCAACAAACCCTAGAACAGGACTACCTGGCTGGAGTGGACTCATTGGTAAGCACTACACTTGAGCAAAACCCCATCATATCACTCCATACATGGTATATAAAAGAGACCAATAATGTTCTTGTTAGCAACAGATTTCAGAGGAAATTTCATAAAAACACCACAAAATTCTGACTTCAGTGGGTTCTGATGGGCAAATGCAGCACAGTTTTTAACATAGGTTTGATAAATCAGAATTCATTGCAGGTGCTGTTGACCTCCTTCTAACCTGCCTGAGCTGCTTTTGCATTCCAATAGACTTGTACAGGTAGAGAAGAATTTCTGAAGTGAACCAAGACCTATGGATAAAGGCCCTAAATATGAAATGGATTCTTGTCTTCTTCATGTCATCTTCTTGGTGCCAATATGTCACATTCCAGAGTTGTGAATACTGTATAAACCTTATTTGTAAGGGACTTACTTGGCACTGGGAGAAGGCTAACAAGACACACCTAGATATGCAAGATTAACAGCACAAGGAAGTGGGAGAAGATTATACCTCTGCCAACTGAATCCAAATAGAGGTTCATCTGGTTCTTCCAAACACTGGAGAAAACATTTATTTCAGGTAGAAGTGTGATCTGCAACTGGGCAATGGAGAGATGCCTACTGGACATATCGCTTTTACTGATCCTTTATTTATCTGCTCCTATTAGAGCTTCTTCAGGTAAGATTACTTCCCTAACATTTATATATTATATATATTATATATATATTTTGATTTGTTTTCTTCTACTACTGTTAACCTAATTTAAAGGGATACAGAATGCAAGTTACAAGATGGTTAATGTAAAAAAAAATACATTGGAACTCCAGCTAGAACGTTTTTAATTTTGAATTTGAATTGAATTGAACATTTAATCCTTCTTTAGGATTGTGTTGCTGCCTTGGTATTCTCACTGAGGAGATGTTGCAGTTTTATGGTATTTTTGAGACATAGAGGGGAGGGGTCCTGTAGTCATTAGTAGATGAGGTTTGGGTTCACTGCTAACAGTGATTCGCAAACGTTTGGCCAACACATTTGCAGGTTCACCACCTGTTATACTGTATATAAGGAACTACCTATTTGACTATATAATATACAAGGAAAAGCCCAGTAAATTATAAGGAACAGCTTATAATGCAGTGCATAGCTTTTTCTCTGGTCAGCAGAGTCACAAGAGTCAATAATTAGAAACCCAACCACCTTTCTATAAAAGGGTAGACTTCCACCATCCATATTGTCTGTGGGTGTTGCCACTCTTATAGAAGGCTAACTATGTATTTATTATTAAGATTTTTCATTTTGGCATGGGTACATGTCTCCCATGATACTGTCTGACATTCCATGCTTTTTATTTGACAATAGCTTGGCTATTAGTTTATTCCCTATTAGCCCTACAAATGGGCATAATTTAATAAGATTTGCCTCCTATAGATTTCAGTGAAGCTGCTGCGTAGTGGATTAAATTCACACAAGATTTGCAATGCTTTTTGCAAACCATAACAGGCAGCTTCCCTCATCCCTGGCCTTGGTGGTAGCTGGACACAATGGGGAAGATTTACTAAAACTGGTGCACTCAGAATTGGGTGCAGCAGTGCATGGTAGCCAATCAGCTTCTAACTTCAGCTCGTTCAATTAAGCTTTGACAATAAAACCTGGAAGCTCATTGGTTTTTATGCAGAGCTGCACCAGATTTTGCTCTCTTCAGTATTATTAAATCAATCCCAACTGATGACAATGCAGCGTAGCCTGAGAGCAAGTTATTAGTTACCAAGATTTCTGGCAGGATCAAAAGATAATTTTTGTACTTATCAAAAAGATAAAACTAAATTCTAGAAGCCAGTAGCAACCATCAACTTGTGTGCTTTTTGTTTAGCTAACTGCCAATGAACCCCCCCCCCCCACCTTCATGGTTCCCGGGATCCCTGCTGTTACTGGAGGCCAGGAACACAACCATCAGCTAGGGGAGGGAGAGCACTGTGAGCCTGAGGCAAATCCATGATGAAGTGATGTCACTTCCGGTTTCAGATGCACCCTTTCCTGGCCAGTACAGCCAGGGGACACATTTAACCAAGCTGATCTGTGCTTGGTTAGATGGTGTGAAG